CTGCCCTTCATCGGTACCAGAGGGCCCCAGGACAACCGAACGCAACGTTTTCAGAAGCTGTGCGATGTTAGGTAGATGCTATTTCAACGAATTTATGAGTGGTGGGAATTTCAAGTAATTTGCGAACATGTTTGCCAGTTGTAAGAAACTGTTGGTAAGCATCGTTTCCCGAAAGCATGACGTTGCACGAAAGCATAACTCTTGCTGTGAAATTGAAGAAAAAACTTCTGTCCGTATTTCGTTTAACGAATGGCTTTCTGTTGCTGATTCTACTGCAGTGCAGCTTCCTAGATGGTGAGCACCAGGACTATGACTAAACAGTAAACGTACTGCTCCTAAACGTATTGTTTAACGTAAAAATGGCTAAGGTCTAAGACGAAGATGACTTAGACGAATTCAATTCTGTTGCCAATTCTCTCTCTCTCTCTCTCTCTCTCTCTCTCTCTCTCTCTCTCTCTCTCTCTCTCTCTCTCTCTCTCGCCCGACGACGGCGCTCCCTGCAGATCGGCGCCCTCGATCGGCGTCCCCAGCTGGCGCCCTCACATGGCGCCCTCACATGGCGCCCTAACCGGACGTTCAGTAGCCGCCTGGCAGCCAATGGCCGGGCGCCGACGGATCAACCGGGTAATCCTGATTCATAGCGGCACACAATCGGATCGTGTCGGCATTCGCGGCGGCCCCGCGCGCCACGGAGTCGACGACGGCGGCGAGGGGAGCTTATGATCTCCGACTGGTGGGGGAAAGGCTGCATAATACGCCAGAATGGAATCAAATTACGCTAATTTCGACTGGATTTGAACAGATAACAGAAACAATGTAAGCCGCGGCCATAGCGGCTTGTGAACGTTAAGGTGCACGCAATACGTCGCTTCAAATTTAAAAACAGTGGACTGTAATGCCTAAATGTAGTATTTAATTAACGAAAGGTACCAAGACCAACAATCTTTTACTAACAGTGTTTTCGCAGACTGAAAAGTAAGTAAACATAGTGTCGCTTACAGGCTGAAAATTTTCCTAATTCATGTCACCTTTCCGGTGCCCAATCACTCTCAAGGAAAACGGCTATGCGGTGCTTGTAACTGTGTTTGTGTTCGGTGCATTTTTTATAATCTCAAGCATATTTTGCATGCCTCGAGTGTCTAGGTTTGCTTGAGAAATTTGTCAGTAGATTCGTTTGTCACGATTTAACAGCCCTACTTACTTCAAATCTGTGCAACAATGCTGAATGTATCCCGCGGTCAATTTGAGACACTTACCAGGTCAATCTGACGTCACATGTTGTCCCTCTGACGTCACACGCGCTACTCTGAGGTCACATGTGCTACTCTGAGATGTCACGGGTCACTCTAAAGTCACTTGGGCCCCTATGACAACACATGTGGTCTGTTCGAGACCATTGGTGGCCTCACTCATGTTTAACAACACCTTACAACTAACGGGGCAGCGGGCCCGTTTTGTTCCGTTGCTAAAGACAATGTACCCGACTCCAAAAACATGCCAACTTCACTTTGCCTGGATGTGTCAAAGTTTGGCAGAAATGTGCAGGTGGTAGATTTTCGGAAGATCAAAGTCGTTGCAGTTTCTTCGTTCAGCTATGCTGTTAACACAGCTGCTGCATTTTTGCGTCTAGCAAACAGTCCCGCCGCTCCGGCAACAAAAACTAACCAATGTTTTGTTTGGCAGACACTAGACAAGCAAGGCATTTGAGTTGGAGCACTGTCCGCCACGGAGCAGCTATCACACCAGTATCGGTCTGCTAATACCTTCTGGCGCCGTCAGCGATCACTCTCGGATTCGCGTCACCCAGAGTCACCGATTGTAGAGCCCTCGGGCGGTTGATCTACCGCTCAAAGACGACTGCTCAATGATGACTCGGCGCCGGTGAGGCCGGCCAAACTTACGCGCCGCTTACTCTCCAAACAGAGCGAGTCGGCGGACTCTGAACTCGACTCGAGTAGGACTCACTCGATCGCGACGTGCCTTTGTCCGTCCGGCTGCTCGAGCCTCCCTCTTCAACTGAGAGGCGAGCACGTGAAGGGCCCACTCGATTAGATCTATCGGGGGTGACTTTTCTACGTCAGCGGCAGCTACACGCCGGTTTTTCATTCGTTCTGTCCAATCGTAAGCCCTCCCGGGACCTGTTGATTGAACATATCTTGTCCAAAACTTCGTAATTCACTCACGAACCACGAACCGGTAGACCGGAACCCTATCGAGTACCAAGCCGGAAACCATCGAACCTCAACAATGACGGGATGACCATGTCTCGCACTGACCAGCTCACCGTAAATCTCTCCGCTGGAGGTGGCCGGTCTCTAACGAAAACAAACGACCATCAAGCCGGCCTCTGGACCGCCGGCAGCAAAAACAAATGGCTCTGGCCGCACAAAAACGCCTCGGGCTGGCTCCACCGAGCAGCGGGCCGGCTCGACGATCTGGTGAGGCCTCGAGCGCCGCGAGCGCCGCGAGAACGACCGTCACGCTCCATCCTTATTACACGGGCCGGCTGATTCGAAAATTGCCGCTGCGTGCACCAGTAAAAAGGCCATTATTCCGGCTATTGTGCGTGGGAAGCGAGCATCGACGGACGCCTGTGACGGCAGTGGTGGCGCGCCCGTGGCTGTTGCGGCGCAGTGGCGGTTGTGGCGCGGTTGTGGCGTCTGTGGCGCACTACCGCAGACCGCGGCGATGCGTGGTGCCTGACGGTTCCAGCCGGAGACGCGTCTTGCCGCCCGATGTCGGGAGGGAGGGGGCAGAATAAGTAATCAATCGGACAGGACATGACTCAGGACACGTGCAGGGCAGTCGGCCTGCCACCTGGCGGTTGGCGGGAGCAGCTCATCGATCTGAGAGCGTGGCTCGGCGCGGTACTCTAGCCGGAAACCGTCGCCCCCTCACCACGCCGGCGCGGTCCCCTGCCTCTTACCCCGGCTCCCCCCCCCTCCCCGTCACCCGGCCCCGACTAGTCAGCTGACCCTATTATAAATCATGTCCTCCCTGGGGTCCTCAGCTCCATTCCGAATCATTTCACGCGGACCGCGTTGTGTGGCCTGCCCCACGTGGGGTGCACCGGGCAGCCTTCTCATTGGTCGGTGCTCACCCAATCAGCGCCGCGAGTTTTTGTTCCGCCCGATGAGCCGGCCTGAAAAGAAATAGTGCTCGGCGGGGCGCTGAGAGGTTAATGTTATTATGGCATACACGTTGGAACCGACTCTAAAGTCCAATTAGCAATGTATTTTGATGGCCGCTGTATCTATTCTATTGAATGACTGGCGCGGAGCGCTGCGGCCCCAAAGCCCGGGGAGGAGCTAGAAGGTCAGCCGGCCCGCTCGGAACGCTCCGACAATGCCCGGCGCCGGCGCCCCCTTCGTTCGTGATTCATGGTCGTCAGATCGGGCGCTCACGGCGTGGCGCGCCGCTCCTCGCCTCCTTTCACCCGCCGCGCGCCACAAACGCCGCCGCTGCGTCAGCTGATTGGAGAAGCGATCGCGGCGCAGGCGGCGCGATGTGGCGATTGAGGCGTGTTGAACCGCCGAGAACGTCGCCGCCATTCCGGTGTGGTTACCGCTGTGCGGGCGACCGGAGAGCGAGCGCCGTAAAAAGGCCGACCGAGGCCTGTTCAGAGGAGATGCGTGGCGCTGCCGCCGGGGTGGCCGTGGCTGCTGTGGCGGCTGTGGTGGCGGTGGTGGCGGCGTATGGGTCTCAGCGGTGACACTGAGACCATCCAATGGTCCTCATGGTCTCGGCGGTCTCGGCAGTGGCGCCACCTCGGCGGTCGCCACCCCGGTAATCGGGGCCTCTGCAGACGCCACCAGGGACCGCCGGCGGCGCTTCCGCCGCTGGGCCGTTGGCGCTCCTCCCTCCCCTCTCTCTCCCTCCCTCCCTCTCTCTCACCCGACCCCTCCCGCTGGCCTACCCGCTCTCCTGAACGAACCCTCCATCTGCCAAGTTTTGCGTAGATACACCCGGCTAGATTCCCAATTTCCTCTCCTCCATTCGTTTACGATTCAGACAGAGACCCCACGTGGGGTTATCGGGTGATGTTAGGCGAACTCTCATTGGCTCTCCTGACAGCCAATCGGTGCTACCCACGTGGGGTGTTCAACCAATGAGGTGCCTCGCTTTTGGTAACACCCACGTGGGCCGTGTAAGTCAACAAAATAAATAGCATTTTGCGCAAATACACCCAAAAAGATGGTTGCACGCAACCAATCAATGGCTGTTGGTCGCGTCAGCTCGTCTGACCGGCCCGGTTCGCTCTGGTATTGATCGGCTGGAGACGGTGGCCGGTGGCCCGGCCCGGCCGCGAACAAAGGATTGCCGCTGACAGCTCGAGCCGCTCGGAGCGCTGGGCGTCCCGTCAGTTGGCCGAGACTGCCTGTTTGGCCGCTGCCGGCCGCAGCTCTGCAAACTCAACCAGACCATCAAAAGAAACCTTTTACCAATTCAAAGCAGCCGGCACCGGCGGCCCGAGCTCCATTTGGACTGACGGGCACGTGCCTCTGAATTTCCGGCCTAACCGCCGGCCGGCCCGCCCGAGCAGCCCAGTGGCTCCCGTATCGATTGTGTAGCGACGGCGCACGAGTGAGCGCGGCAGATAATTACTGGCCCCGGGTGTGATTCGATTTGTGATCAGTTGTCCGTGCTCATGCACCCAGTCACAGAGTGTAGCAATCGAGCTGAATGGGCGCTAATACAGGAACAACCCCGGCCCTATGACCCACGTGTGATGAGTTCTAATCTTCAGAGACGGGTCCACGGTATGTATTTGAAGGTGGTGCCACCGATGACCCTTGACATTCCTCCCCCCCCCCCCCCACCCCCCGTCTGGGACGCCTCAGCACAATCCGAGTCCCTCACGTCTGAATAAAGATTGTGTTCTCGGGAGCCCCGAGCGCGGCGCGCCGGATCGCCTCCGGTGCTCCGAATTCCCCACCATCGCTCATCCATCGCCCGCCATCGCCCGCCATCGCCTGCGTTCAGCGCCGAAAACGCCCGGCGCTGTGGTGTGTCTCCGTTTTATTGGCACCGACCAGCCACGGCTGGCAGCCGCCGGCGACACATCTAAAATAACATCAACAATCTGCGGGAGGGGGTGCCAGGGCCGGGGGAGCGGGGAGGGGAGGGTATATTTACCGACCAACCGCCGGAGGGGAGGAAGAGGATGGGGGAGGAGAGAGGAGGGAGGCGACCGCTCGGCAAATGACAATGGCAGCTGGCGTCCTCTATGTAAAGTGGAGGTAACAGACGACCGTCGGTCTTGCTTCTCGGGCTATTTACAGGACGCGGTTATGAACGCTCTCAATTAGTGATGCGACTGTTTTGAATGAATGAAAATAATGCAGTAATGAGTGACCATTCAGATCATTGGCGTCGCACTAGATCGTAGGGATTAATTAACAAAAAATGGCACCTTTTGTAAACGTTTCACCTGATGAAAACTTGTTGCTGAATAAAACGCGATTGATCAGCATTGTTGCTAAGTCTGGAGGCAATTGGAGGAGGTGTTTTGGAGGTAATTTGGAGGAAGGCATTAATTATATGCATTGTTACGACGGGACTACAGCTGAAAAAACGATATTACCTACACTCAGTAAATATTGCCAAACCAAATGGCAAGTACATACATACCTTGCCAGTTTCAGTACCTACCTTAACAACCCCAGTTTCTGCATAGCCGTGGCTGTGCTTCTGCAGAAGCACACGACAAAAATAAACCATAATTTTCCAGCAAGTTCTTTGGCAAATCCAAAAAGGTGATATTAAATGCTCCAAGGGGGCACAATCAAACTTATTCAAGCTCGATACAGACGCCTAAGAATGTTTCAGCATTGGTTGCTTTTCTGTACAATTTGAAGGAATCTTTAGCAGTTTTGTTCAGCAACTTCAATAATTTCAAACACGGTGAGGGCCATTGGGCAAAGGGCAGAGCTCCAAATGAACCTCGGAGCCGACAGTGCTCAATGCTGCATCAATATTATGCTCCTCGCAGTTCCGCCAACATCGACGCTCAGAATGTTTCCATCAGCATCACAAGGAACTGCATTATAAAGCTAATGTACCGCCCCTTTTCAATGACGCCGTAATGTATGTGGTGCTGCTGCGTTTGCAGTTTTCAAGAAGCGAATAGCGAAGTAGGTACGACTCTTTTGGGCAGACGTGCTCTCTTTGATACTGAACCATCATTCTATGATTTCTAATGCCACAGCGAGAGGGACCCAATCAGCTGCTCGGCGCGGCGATTGATCGGGTTTGTACTGTTTCTACGATCACCACTTCTGAGAGAGGGGGTGCTGGGCTGGGGAGACGGGGAGAGAAGGACGGACAAGGGCACACTGAACTACATCCACAGACACGCATACAGTTCCGCCGCACACGGACACGAGCTCGTAACAAAAATCGGGATGCGATCTTTGACTGTTAATCGATCCGGCATATGCGCTCAGTTTCGGTGTGCTTTGGAACAAGTTAGAAGACTCACTTGCCACGCGTTTTAGCCCGTGCTCTGCACACACTTGGGTACACGCGCGGACAAGCAGCAGTCATCTAGTGTATGTATGTGAAATCGGCCAGTCTTTGTACCGAGTCGGCTCCATGACCTGACCACAGTGCCAATCGCAAAATGGCGGCACCGTTCACACACAGAGTAGCGACTAAAATTGACTCGGCCACACCAGGCCCCACCCTTCACACACCACACACACACAGCGACGCACCGATCATTGTCGAGAAAGGTAAATAACGAGAAATGTCTCCCAACGCACGTGCACGTGCGATACACGCGTACACGTATACCACACATAGTATACACGCCCGCAAACGCACACACTCGCACATATACCGAGAAATCGCCGCGACGCCGCGACACCAGCACACAAAAATAGGACGTATTTTGATTCGAATCCCTTCCCGGTGAGAATTGTACATATACGTCCTGACTAGAGTGAAGACCAGGCTCGCGCATTATCACTTATGAGGTTCGCCGCTCGGCCACCAGAGGCGCTGTCGGCGGCGATTGTCTTAGTATATCACTTCGTAGACGGTGGCCTTCTTGTCTCCGGAGCCGGTGACGATGAACTTATCGTCGGCGGAAATGTCGCAGCTCAACACCGACGACGACTCCTTCGACTGGGAAAGCGAGTCAGAATTATAATTAGATAAAATAAATAATTAAAAGGAAATGCTTAATGAAGAATGATTTCATAACTGTCTAGATTTAGTCGTCCTTGTATTATTGATAACCTAGAGAAACTTCAAACAAAACTAACTGGCTGACGTTTCCTAGGACTTGTGGTGGCTCGACAAAGTTATTGTTTTATTCAAGAAGCGAACACATCATTAAATTTATAATAATCGACACATGGCAGCCACTTTTAATCGTATCAGTCAGCTCATGTCGTCTTCGTGTGGCGTGCGCAGCGCATGCAAAATTAGTAATGACCACCACACATACCTGGAATATTGATGCGCCATAGGGCGTCCTCCAGGCGTTGAGCAGGTTGTCCTTGCCGGTGGAGACGAACCACTTGCCGCACTGAGCGAACTTGAGCGAGAGCACGCAGCTCTCGTGCAGGTGCAGCTGGTACTTGTCGGGCTTGTTGACGTGCAGCACCTCGACGTTGGAGCTCTCCATGCCGACGGCCAGCCACTCGCCGGTCGGACAGAAGCCCAGCGAGAAGATCTGAGAGCTGAAGTCGTGCTGCTGCAGCTGGCGACCTTCGCGCAGGTCCCACGAGCGCACCGTGTTGTCCAGACCGCCCGTCCACAGCTTGTTGCCGTCGGACGAGATGTCAATGCACGAGGCGCCGTCCGTGTGCCCCTGGAACTGGCGCACCAGCTGCTGGTTGTGCAGGTCCCAGACGGCGATGTTGCCGTCGCTGCAGCAGCTGAAGCACACCTTCGAGTCGGGAGAGATGGCCAGCGCGTAGCACGCCGGCGCAGATGAGGGCAGCTCGCACTTGATTCGGGGAGTCGGCCCGGCCAGGTCCCAGATACTGAGAGTGCTGGCCTCGCCGCCAACCATCAGAGTTCGACCGTCCGGTAGGAGCTTCACCGAACGGATGTAGTTATCCCGCTGCTGGAGACGAGAAACAGTGGCAACGTTCTACCGTCAGCGCTGTACAACTCGTATGTCTCAGCAACAGGGTGTCAGGCATCAGCTAAAGGTAACTTCAGATGCGCTGCTGTTAGAAGTTTGGCAGCGATTTGACTTTTTCAACAACAAATAAGATAAATGTTTATGCAACGTTCGAAGCCAAGGTACTTTTCAGTATGAGGTATTCCACAGTAAAATATACCTCTGTTTTTTTTTTGTTGTTGTAAATGAAATACGGAATGTGTTTCACTTTTTCCCATCTGCGACATAGGTTATCGTACTCACCAAGCAATCGAGCTGCGAGACGGGCGTCTTGGCGTTGGACTGTCCGATGTCCCAGACCTTGACGCAGCCCTTGCCGCCCGTGTAGACGAACTTGGTGGGGTTGGAGATGGTGACTGCGCACACCACCTCTCCGTGACTGAGCGTGTTCATCTGGCGCGCGTGGCGCGGGATGCCGGGGCCCAGCAGGGCGTCCGTGGGAAACGGCACGGGCATCATCTGACCGTCCGCCGACACATGGAAACTGTACGCCCTGAGGGAGGGAAACGGGAAACAGACTGTCAGCTCGGCAGAGTAAAGGAAACGCGGTGTGAAAAATGGCAGAGTAAAAAGGGAAATGGAGGCGGGGGAGTAGGATTTGTAAAAAGAATGGAAATTAATAACTACAGGGCAGGGAGAGATGAATAGAAGCAGGTCCTGATCGGATGAATAGAGGGGAGCGAATGGATATTCTTTGATAGATGGACATGGAACGAATCAACGCATGAATGAAATAAATCGAAAAGATTCAAATCGAAACAAGTTTTCAAACGGTTTGAAAGAAGACGACACTGAATAATGGCTGCGAGAGGCTGAAGCTTGCCGATATAAAAAGCACAAATGAGAGTATCTGTTATTAAAAACCTATCATATGTATACATTTCAGAATGACCCTTAACTATGACTAGCTTGGTATTGTTCTTATTCATTGGGACAGCCATCCATTTCCGGAGCCATCATCGCTCACTGCCTCATTCGATTCGCTCGCGCTTCATATCACCTAAATCACCGAATTATACGCCGGTCGGCCAAAACCTGTGCCACTAAAGTCTCACTAATTAGCTCGATGTGAGTCACCCTGGAGCTTACAATGAGCACCACGAGCAGCCTCAAGGAGCGGCGTAAATGGAAAAGTTTAGTTCAGGTTTTCCCACAACCCCGCTCTCTTCCGTTCGACGATTAGTAATTTAGCGATTATGAACAGATACAAATATGCACGCATTGTTAACGATTTCTGGTATGTACGTACCATAAGTAGGTATATAGTTGTAGGTTCGTTCTTATGTGCATCAAATCGAACTTTCGGATTCCTTTTTGGTTTGCAGCGAAAGAGAAAAAAGTAGTAAATATATCACTGAATCGCCATAAATCCATTCACTCCATTCACAGAAGTGTTCTTTTGCTAGTTTCTTTGCCCCAGTTATCACTGTAACTCAGGATCATGTGTCCCATCGTCCGCTCTATTTCCGGCTTATCGCCACAAAAAGTTCATCATTAGCGTAAGCACGGCCCTCCCGTCCACAGAGAATTCCTCGCGTGTCAACAGCCTGACGCCGGTGCGCCAAGCGCCCTCCGGATATTTCCGTCAGTGACGTCATAGGGACACGCCTGTGACGTCACAGGAGCGTTCAGCCGAGACGAGAATGGCGCATCTGAGGCGAGACGAGCCGGCGGTTCATCCCCGGAGGGGTATTAGTGAAAGGAGACCACGATACACAGACTTGGGAAATTGAAATCAAATTACATGGCTTGGGGCGGGATAGAAGGATTGCTTAAAATTATTTAGATCAGCCGGAAAGCAGGAAAAATAAGATTCGATCAGCTAAGTAGTTTCCTGGCTCGATCTTATAGTAGGTTTTAAGTCGTACCTATGCCTATCACAACGCCAAACATACAGGGTGATTTTTTTACTTGTTAAAAGGTAATGAGGTCTAGTGGGGTTAAAATGCAAATATATCTTCAAAATTATATACCAGGATGAAAAGCATGCTGGGACATTTTGATTTCATGCGGACACGATGCGAAGGAACGTCCATCGTGTATTTTACTTGTGCTTGAAGTTACCGACACGAATCAGCCCGCCTGAGCACGTGTTGAACAGCACCATGGACTCCCATACTCATTAGGCGGACTGAAAAGGCTCCTATCGCCCATTTTCAGCTCTGCCAGATATTTCCACTGTTTTCTTGTTATATCTGCCATAGCTGGGCCCAAAAACTAGAAGTTTAGGGAGGGCAGGTCGAGGATTTTGATACTGGCGGCCCTGATGGTGTCTGATTCGCTGTTTTTTATTTCTCCCTGAAGACTGATTCTTCAAAAGCTGCTCATACGCCAGATGGACTGTTTGAAGGTTATTTATGACTACAAGCTTGTTCATGCGTTATTTAACGTCTTTCTGAGGTATCTCCTTGATCATCGTATGCTTCGAACTGCCTCAATGCTTCAAAATCATCGTTTTGTGTCGTTCCTTACTGAACGGCGGTGGACCATGCGTGCCCGATTGGTGGGACATTTTCAGGCTCCATTGGGGCCGAGGCCGTCGGTCAAAAGGGACAAATGATGACACCATACAAAATGTCCCAGATTTATCTATCACGTGCATTGCTTTTTTGCACGCGATTTTTCGATTTAGGGACCACCATTGACGTTTACTTTTTAACAGTTAAAAAAAATCACCCTTGTAGTGCACAGCCTAAAACCAAACCCCAACAACCAGTCAGTAAACAGCCTTGACAAACAACAGTCAACGATAATACATCCTACCAGCTATCCAACCTCCCTGGCAACACGGTAAGTTACTCAGAAGACAGATTAGCTGGCCAAGAATCCACCCCGTGCCAACCCATCAGCCTCCCCCTGTCACCGACTGCGCCATTCGTCGACCTATCTGGCGACGGAGCAGCCAATCCGGCGCACCTACAGACAGCCGACGGCAAATGTGGCGCGGTGACCGCCCGGAACGCCCCAGGCACCATGGACAACATGGCCTGGCTGGTCGGACCGATTGGATTGGTGCTCAGGAAGCTGGGGTCAGTAGCGAGGGAGAGAGGGAGAGAGGGAGAGGGAGGAGAGGGAGAGGGAGAGGAAGGGAGATGGGGAGGAAAGAGAAGGAGATGGAGAGGGAGAGGGAGAGGGAGAGGGAGAGGGAGAGGGAGAGGGAGAGGGAGAGGGAGGGAGAGAGAGAGGGAGAGGGGAAGGGAGAGAGAGAAGAGACAAAGAGAGAGAGAGGGAGAGGGAGAGGGAGAGGGAAAGAGAAAGGGAGATGGAAAGTGAGTGAGTGAGAGGCACAGACATTAGACATACTCGTGCAAACACTCAGACAAACAGACAGACAGACAGACAGACAGACAGACAGACAGACAGACAGACAGACAGACACCCAGACAGACACACAAACTGGTACGTGGGGCGGACAGGTGGGCTGTGCCCCGATGACACCGTCACTGTCCCCAGTGCCCCGCGGCGCCCGGTCTTGGCACATTCTCGGCTCATTCTTTGGGCACCAGTCCAACTGTCTGATTGGGCACGCTCGAGATGCCAGGGCGACTATTGGCTGCTCATCGACTTCTACCGTAGTTAACGAGTAGGTGTTCGGAGAGTTTTTGCCACTTAGTTGAGGCTGCTTTTATCAATTACAATCAGCAACGGTCTCCAGAGATAAGCAGTGCATGTAATGACAGAGTGTTCGACTTTTTCAATCATTTTAGTATGATGCATGCTGCTTGGAACGGTCTGTTCGCTAGTTTTGCATCATAGTTATCTTATATGATGGATGATTTTCGATTAAAGCATATTTATGCGTCAAGCAAACTCCCAAGAATAATGGCGCAGGTAGAAGGTTGTCATACCATGGCACTGACTTTTATCGCATTATCTTTCTAGTTGAGGTTTATTTGCCATTGGGTCTACAGTGCAGGGATATTTCTATCTCGCACTCCTCTGAGATGCAAAAATAAGAATTTGTTATCCCTGCATCTCTCTGAGATGCAAAGATAAGGTCTCGAGGGTTCATAGCCAAAAATCAAGAGTTCAACTGATGATAGGTCAATAATCGAACGACATTTTTAATGGCTGTTTATGTATGAATCTTATGAAATAAAAACAAACTACTCTTAATCCTTTTTTACATAGATGAATACATTTAAAAATACTATTTAATTAATTAAGAATAAACCTCAACATAGAAAGATATAGGATTCCTCATGGCTCACTCGTGGAAGATCGGATATCTTTTCCTCGCGTGTTACAGAAAAACCTCGCTCCTTCGTCGCTCGGTTTTTCAGTAACCCGCTTGGAAAAGATATCCTTATCGCCCCCGGTCAACAGACATGGTAGCCCAAATCTAGTCGGATATGAAACTTCTTCTAAATTCATAGACTTTAATGCTAAATTGACTATATTTGAGAGGGTTTTATGAAGATACATGACCAGATACAGAAAAAAGCGAGATGCTATCTGGTAGAATAAATCGTCTACTATCTGCGACTTTAGAAGTGTTTTTCAATCTGAGGTACGGAAATCGTGTTCCCAAGAGACTGAAAGTAGCCATGCTTTACATTAGACCCAATGGCAAAAATTCGGAATCTGACGAAATTGGCCATTTTTACGTCGGATTTATAAAATTCTAGACAGGATGTATAAAAACCCGAGATGCTATCAGGTGGGAAATTTCATTGTCTATTACCGCTTTCTGAAGTGTTTTTCGATCTGAGACCGGCAAATCGTGTTCCCAAGAGATTGAAAGTAACCCTGTTCTACAGCAACACAATGGCAGAATTCTAATATTTGATTAAAGATATCTTAGGTGATAATAACCATACCACTAATTGCAGTGCTTCATTGGAAAGCTCAACACTGGCACTATCATCGGTCTTGCATTGCTATTTCACAGAACAACAAGAAATAACGTTTTGAAGCCTTTGAATATTGACTTACTTTTCATCGACGGGCTCGATCCCCATCACCACCAACAATTTTCCGGGAAGTCAGGATTTTGCAGATATTTAAGCAAAATTGCAGAGCTATGTTAATGCTACGACCATTAAATATGCATTTTAAGAAAACTGCTTTTTCATTAGCATGAGTTAGGTCTCAGAAACAGCAACATGTCGATAAAATGAGGAAAAATAAGTGCAAATGATCGCGCAAGAGAGTATCCTTAGCTCCCTAGCAACCACCTAGCAACGTAAGGCAAAATAGTAAACAACTCCTGTTGATATCAGGTACTCAGCATTGGAAGCACACTAGACGGTCACCATACTGGGCTTCATACTGAATTTTGCAATCAGAATGGATATTTCCAACTAAAATTATTTTTTCGCGAAATTTATCTTTGTTGCCCTACTATTTTTCGTAAAACCGAGATATACAAACTTAATGATATCAAAAATAATATTGTGATAATGAAAATCGCCACATAAAACAAGACAATTGCTGAGATCATGCCTACTAAACTTGGTCCTACCCCCTAATTCAATATACCCTGTCCTTATC